TTCTCATGTTAAGATTTCATCTCCTCTTGCATGGCTATATACCATTTATCCTTCTCTTCATGTGACATAGCTTCTTCATAGCTCTTTGGCTTTCCCCCATCAGTTAACAATACATACTCATGAGGGAATATTTTTGTGAAGGAATAGGCTCTACTTATTCATTAATTTGTGGCTCTGGTGCATCAACTATATTCTCCACATTTTCATTCACATCTCCCCAATATTAGTGGCCCTAGAAGGAGGTTTTGGCTCAACATCAATGTCCTCGCGAGTAACTTGTTTTGCCTTCTCCTTTTTGTTAATATCTTTAATGGTTTGGCCTTCAAGAAAAACAATATCTCGGCTTCTAACAATCTTCTTATCAATCGAATCCCAAAACTTGTAACCAAAATCATCATGACATAACCCAAGAAAACACACTGTTTAGACTTACCATCAAGCTTGAATCTTTTATCTTTAGGGATATGAATAAATGCCTTGTAGCCAAACACCCTTAAATGATTATAGGAGAGATCTTTCCTTCTCTACACCTTTTTTGAAACATCACTACCAAGAGGAACAAAGGGAGAAAGGTTGATTAAGTCCAATACAATTCTCAAAGCTTCATCCCAAAAGGCTTTAGGTAATTCGAAATGAGAAAACATGCATCTAATTCTTTGGGACTATCTTCTCAAGCTTGATGTGATGAAAACTTGCTTTGGAACCAGATTGATGTTGATTTCTTTTCAAGCTTCTCCATAGACCTTTGGCTCCTTGGTTCTCCTTAAGCTTATTCAAAGATTCCAATGGAGGAAGAAGCTTCGGATTTCTTTTTCAATGGTGAAGAACACTCTCAAGTGGCACCACTCATTGGAGGAAGATTAGCCACTTCAAATCTCACCACACTCTTGTATGAAGAGGATAAGAGAAATGGATTAAAATCAAAGAGGTTGAGACTTTTGAAAAAGAGAAAATTTGAACAATTTTTGGAATTCTCTCAATATATGCATCAAAAGTATTTACAAAGTGAAGAAAAAGACTTATATAGTGAGGGAGAAGCTTGTGGTGCAAGCTAGACTAACTATGGTTTAAGGAGAATCATGGTTAGCCTTCTTACACTCAAGCTAACCGGTCTAGTAACTTGGAAGCTTATGGAACAAGCTTTTAACTTAGAAGCTTGGGGAGCAAGCTAAGCTAGAAACTTGTAGCACAAGCTATCCAAGTGTGTAGGAGAAGCTAGAAGAGTTAGGCAGCCCATCTTGTTTTCCTTCACTTAATCCAATCCAAAAATGTTGGATTTGGTTTAGTTAGGTTCACCTAATGAGGGTGAGACCTAGCTAAATCAATTCCTTGGATTAAATGGAGCAAAACAAGCCCAATATGTAAAAATTAGCCTAGGCTCACTATAGGCCCAATTGCTAGCTTCACCTACACACTTTACTATTTGTCACCTCACTTCTACTACTAAAAATATGAAAATAAACGACCCTTTATACAAGTTCAAATGGAATAAAAGTCTCCAAGTAACATACCCTAAAATCCCAAAGGGATAACCTATAAGAAAAAAAAGAAAGTGCCTCACAATTACAAAGGCAAAATACACCTATACAAGTAACTACTATGTACAAGTATCATACAATGTATATACAATGGAGACTAAGGGACTAATAAGAGGAATCATACTCATGCTCAGGAATAACATAGGTCTAAGAAGTACCTCCTCTATAGAAACCTCCTCTAGCCTCCTAACCATGGACCTAGTTAAAGGCTCAATGGTCTTCAAGTGTGTGCTCTCCTATGGATTAACCTTCACCCTTTTTGGTCTTACCTCTTCCAAAGGGATCCTTGGTATTTAGACTTACCATCAAGCTTGAATCTTTTATCTTTAGGGATATGAATAAATGCCTTGTAGCCAAACACCCTTAAGTGACTATAGGAGGGATCTTTCCTTCTCCACACCTTTTTTGAAACATCACTATCCAGAGGAATAGAGGGAGAAAGGTTGATTAAGTCCAATACAATTCTCAAAACTTCATCCCAAAATACTTTAGGTAATTCGGCATGAGAAAGCATGCATCTAATTATATCATTAATTGCATGGTTCATTCTATCTACAACCCCATTGTGTTAAGGGATCTTTGGGATTATCTTCTCAAGCTTGATGCCATTGTCCCTTCAATAGTGCTCAAATGGACCCTTGTCTTGCAAGAGTATCAAGACCTTTCAAGAGATGTACCTTCAATTGGAAGCAACCCTTGTCTTGCAAGAGTATCAAGACCTTTCTCACTCAAGTGACTAAGATGTTTATGCCATAAATTTGTAAACCAATTCTCAATTGCATTCAATAGAGGTGTAGACAGCTTAGCTGATGTCCAGTAAAGAGTATTTCATTTCTCTCCCTTTGGTATCACCAAAGTCTTTTTGGTGCACTTTCATTTTCCATTACCAAAAGAGTTATGGTAACCATCTTCATCAAGTTTTTGTACTGAGATTAAGTTGAGGCACATGTCAGGGATGTACTTGATGTTCTTCAAGTGTAACCTTGATTACCCCTTGATTTCCCATATTCACTCGCCCAAAATCCCCAACATTGTAGGATGTAAAGTACTCACAATATGGTGTAACATGAAATGAGGTAGCAAAATCAATGACCCATTCATACACTTGACATGCAAGATTAATAGAATTATCATCATAAACAATGACAACTTCACCATTAGATACAATTGTAGTAGTGCCTTTAGCTTTATCTTCTTTTTTGTCTTTGCCTTTAACCCTTGATTTATCTCGCTTAAGGAACTTGCACTCTTTCATCAGATGTCCCATTTTATTGCAATAGAAACACTTAATGTCTTTCCTTGTCATTGACTTTCCTTTTAACTTGTTACGGTTATTATATCTATGAGAATTTCTTTGATGGCTTTTTCCGCTTGATTCCACAACCAAAACTTCATTATGAGTTGAAGAACTAGCCATTCCTTGTCCTTTTCTCCTAGTTTCTTCGTTTAGGAGACTATCTTTGACCATATTAAAAGTAAGCTTTCCATTAGGAGTAGAGTTACTTCGAGATACCACCCATGTCTCCAAATTGTCTAACAATAAGCTAAATAACAACAATGTTAATAACTCATCCTTTAATACAATCTCCATAGTATTCAACTGATTCACCAAATTTTGAAAATTGCTTAAGTGCTTTGCCATTAAAAAACCATCATTGTATTTTAGGTTTACTAACTTTCGAATGAGGAATGCTTTGTTTTGTGCATTTTTAGACTCAAACAACTCACTCAATTTCTTCCATAAGTTGAAAGGATTAACATCACTTGACACATGATGGTAGATGCTCTGATCTATCAATTGTTTGATCATGTCAATGGTCTTCTTATTGGTTTTCTTTCGATCTTCTTCAGATGGTTTGGTGCCATTAGCCTCAATGGGATCATTCATGTCTTTATAAAATAACAAATCTTTCATTCGAGACTTCCAAATAGAGTAATTGGTGCAATCTAATTTAATCATTGTACTAGAGACATCACCTTCACCCATCTTTAGAAAAGAAACCAGAGCCCCCAATTAGATCTTTGATACTTGTTGTTGGGAAAGATAACAAATAATAATAATTAAGCGAAAACAAAACTTGATCTTCTTTTTCCCTATATAAATAAAAATAGGCTCCAGAAGTAACAAGATAACTTCAGGCGTATAACAAGATGCACAAAATAGAAAAATAGGAATCAACAAGCACCAAAATTTTAATGTAAAAACCCACATGATCTAGTCCAGTAAAAAACTCTACTAATAATAATTAAAGGGTACACCACAGGTCCTTCTAGAACCACCAAGGATCACTAGAGATAACTCCTCACCCATATGGTGGATAACAATACAAGAAAATCTCCAAATGGGTATCTAACCATATAATAACGAGAATCAAAATACATTGAAATTGGTATCAAATACTTATTCTCCAAGTTGGTTGCTCCACTCCTTCTCACAAAATTCTTCTTTTTCTACTTATTGCACAAAGAGGCACAACGTACGCAATCACACACTCTACTTTCTGATTCCTCCTCCTTCTAAAAGGTTGATTTCATATACTAAAGGGGCATTTGATAGGGGAAAAGTTTCTTCATACAAAGGAATCATGATTCCTGGGAATTATAAATCCTAAGAATAACTAAAATTTGTTTGATTATTCATAGAGGGTGTTTGGCAGGAGGGAAGTCTTTTCCTAGAAGTTACTCATAAAAACTAATGAGAATATTCATACATGATTCTTGGGAATTAAAGATTTTTATGTTTGGTTACAATAGTATATTCGATTCTTAGTCTTAGGTTTATAAATATTTTTAACAAAAATATCTTTTATTAAAATAAACTCATATATATATATATATACACACACACACACACTTAAATCTTATTACAAATATGATGTTAAACTATTTTAAAAAGTTAAAATCTTATTAAAATTATTTAAATATATAATCCAACAAAAAAATAAAAAGAAAAAGAAAAATACTACTGATAAGTGTCTAATTATTATGATTAAATATGCATTTGAGACACTTATCTAGCATAATTTTTGTACATACACTACAAAAAAGTCAGAGTTTGTTAGCGTTCGTTTTCTAGCGGTTTTAGAAAACCGCCAAAAAGTCCTATTTTTGTGGCAGTTATATTAACCGCCAAAAATTACTGCATTTTTTTGCGCAAGAATGATGACTTTGGAGAGAGCCATAGACAAGGAAGTAGCAATCTTGAAGAAAATGATGAAGAAGTAAGATTCACTTAATTGTTCAACTTGCCTAAGTCTAAAATAAAAAAGTAAAATAACATAAAAAATTCCCTATCACTTTTACCTTTTCAATAATTTGATGGCATAATTCCTTAATGCTATATTCCTTCCATATCAGTGGCAGGGCTCATTCAGTGGGGTGAACTCATTCAAATGCAACTATTCCATCCAGTCCTTGATTTGAGTTAATTAATTAATAGTTTGACTAGAGGATTATCTATATTTAGCTTCTGTAGATTAATTTTGTGATTGCCATTCTTTGTGGCCATTTCAGCATTTCCTTTTTGTTCCTATCTGTTTCATGAATTTCATGTTACATTTTTTGGTCATAACAAGTGTTGATTTGCTCTTGCAGTTAATTTTTTTATGAATATTTTGTTTACCTGCAAGATAATCCTTCAATGTCACGTTTGTGACACGCTCAAATACAATGAATATTGTGCTTATAATTTGGGGACGGTCCTCATGAGTAATGACAGAGTGTCCAAGAACACTCACCAAATTTCTGTGCCTTAAATAGGGTAATACCTTCAAGCTCTGAATACAGTTTTTGTACAAACTCTTCTGCTTTAGTTTTACACAATTGACCACGACCATTGAACCATCTATGAGCCAACCTTTATATAGCTGTGTAAAATGCAAGAGTAAATGCCATTACCACTTGGTCTTGTGGGTTCCATACTTCCATCTCTTTGTAGAGACCCCATAATCATTAGGAAAGTAATAGAGATATGAAAATTCTTTTACCTGTCCCTGTGATCCTTCTGCTATAAGATTTGATGGATCAAAGTTGTTTGTAGCGTCTTCAATTTCTTCTAATGAGAAAATGGAGTATGGTGGGAATCCCAGAATAGGTTGTCTCGTTGACAGAGGAACATGTTCTATTTCCCACAGGAGAAAAAAATCAATTCGTGCATGAGTAAATAAAAGACACAGAATATTAAGGAACATGTATACCACAATGAGGAACCAAAATTATGATCTTCATACAACAACAGCAAAGTCTATTGTATCATATCGTATTAAAATATATAAGTAAATAAATTTGATTCCACTCCCCTAATAGAAGCTTAAATTATATTGTCTCTAATTTAAAAAAAAAATGAGAAATGAAATGTACTACATTTTAATCTATTTGAATGTAACCAAATCGCTTAGTAGTGATAAATAATAATAAATAAACCACCAAAAACATTTTTTGTTTCTCTGTTACATTTAATATCGATGACAACTAATTTTAAATGCTCGATTATTGATTTTAGAACTTCAGGAAATGAAGTTTTAGACATCCTTATTATCAACTTAGAAACTTCACAAAAAATCTATTTATACTCAAAAGTTTTAAAGTTGATAATAGAGATTCAAAACTAGTTCTCAATAATGTCAATAATCACATAAAGGAAGAAATGTCCCTAACAAGTTCGTTTATATAAATATGGATCAAAGTGAAATATATATTAATCTCTCAAAGAGAGAAATGCAGTATAATTTAAACACACATCAAGATATGAGAAGTTAATTTATAATAACAATAATAATAATGTCCTTACTTGCATTAATATTTGATGTTGGATATGCAGGGACAGAAAATTTATCATCAGCAGAGATGTCTTGGTTATAATTGCTGTCTGCTTTTTCTGCTTTGGACTTCTTGAAGATGCACAAAATGAAAAGAACCAGAAACCCTGCAGTTCCCACAATACCTCCAACAATACCAAGTATTAGGCCTAGTTGCATCTCTGACTCCTTCTGCTGGCTTCTATGTGGTGGTTTAACAGCTAAAGCCTCCACTTTCTTGCAATATGAGGATGGATGTTGACCATTTAACCTTCTAGTTGTCAAACAATTCCCGGCATAAAGTGTTGTTCGATTTGAACCCTTTGAACTAATACATGATGGCAATTTTCCCACCAAGAGGTTGTGTGAGATATCAACAAATGCCAAAGAAGAACTACATGATACATTCACAGAAAGGGAGCCACTTAATTGGTTTGCAGCCAAGTTTAGGTACTTGAGGAAAGGAAGAGAGAAAATAAATGATGGGATATTTCCAAATATCACATTGGAAGAGATGTCAAGTAGCTGAAGTTTATAAACTTGCATGAGCTGTGGAGGAATTCTACATCTCAAAGAGTTGTCTCTCAAGATAACCCTCACAATATTCTTGCTCAGTGAAGGGAATCCAGGACCCAATTTGTTGCCACCTAAGTTGATCTCTTCAAGAGAAGCCAGTCTCCCAAGATCAGGCACACTCCCATTGAAAAGATTTTCAGCCAAAACAAGACTCCTGATGCTTCTCAAAGAGGAAATTGATGATGAGATTTCCCCATAGATGAAGTTTGAGCTAATATTGAGCACTTCAAGGAACCAGAACCTGTCAATCTTGGATGGCAAAGGACCCCACAACCCAAGTGACACCAATGACAACACCTTCAGATTTGAAAGGTTTGTCAAGACAGTAAAGAAAGACTCAATGGAGAATCTTTCTGAGAGAGTCTCAGATGAATTCCAAGACACAAGCTGAGTTTTGTGAGGAGAATGAGAAGTCTTGTTCCCAATGATGGTTAACTCGGTTACATGGCCATTAGAGCACACAATCTTGAGAGAAGGTGAGGGAGGGAGGGAGCAGAAGTTGGTCATGTTGTTCCATCCTTGAAGAGCTTGAGGATATTCAAGAAGCTTCTGAACTTGGAGAAGGATTCTGTTCTCACTTGTCGTTAACTGTGCACTGGGAATTGGAGTAAGCAGCACAAGAATGATTGCAGGAAACAAGTAATACAAAGAAACCAAGAAAACCTTCATTTTCTGAGGATCAGACACCTGTGTAGCAAGACAAAGAATGGTGCTAAGTGTCTCAGAAAGAACAGAATATAACTCTATTGCAGAGTTGAAGCTAAAAAAATCGAAATATGCCACCTAGAAGATAACAGTAATAGCAGCAGTTATTGCTCAAAAGATTAATTATATGCATAATCCTGCAGCCACACTACTAAATCAATATTTTCTTTTGGCACATCAACAGGAGTAACCATTTTCATTCCAAGATCTTACATGCATACCAAATCATTCTAGCAATTCGTTTTTTACTCTCATCAAGAGATGTTCCATATAAAAGAAACAACATGGTCTATGACAATGACATATTCCTATTTCAAATTTGACAAGAACAGGAAAAAGCATTACCTGTTTATAACTCAAGGTAGCCAGCCTTTCATCCTGCAAAGGCATAATTATACAACATAAGAAATTAAGAATGAATCAAATAAATGAGATGGTAAACACAAGCATATGTGTGTGCATGAGCACTCACATATAGGAAAAGCGCTGAGCGGATTCAAGCCAGAGAGCTCAACAAATGCAGCATAAGAGAGGCGCTCAGCCACTCCAAGACGCTCAGCGGATTAGGCCCTGGAAGAGAAGGAGTGTTCTCTGCCTCCAAGGCGCTCAGCCACTACCATCCGCTGAGCGAATTTAGTCCAGGAAATAGGATGCTCTCTGCCTCTAAGGCGCTCAGCGGATCTAGGCGCCCAGCCCTTATGCTTTGCTTAGGAGTGAAGGATCTTCAAGGCGCTTAGCAAATCCAAGGGGCTCAGCCCTTTAGGTTACTTCATGGTGAAGGATTCTTCAAACCGCTCAGCCGTTTCAAGGCGCTGAGCGGATTCGTCTCTTTCCTGTTCGCTCTGTTTTAATTTTATCACATATATAAGGGCAGAGGAGAGAGAAAGGGGTATCATCTGAAGCAGTACGAAGAGAAAACAGAGAAAGGGAGGAAACAGAGCACTTTGGAGCTCGTGGGGACGCGATTCTTCGAAGGATTTCTTTCTTCTTCCACCTTTCATCTTGTTATTGGGTGATTTCTTGTATTATGGAGAGCTAAGCTCTAGGGTTGGGATTGATGTAATCGTCGAACTCCTTTGTATTCCTCTTTGATTCATATATATATATATATTCTTCGAAGGATTTCTTTCTTCTTCCACCTTTCATCTTGTTATTGGGTGATTTCTTGTATTATGGAGAGCTAAGCTCTAGGGTTGGGATTGATGTAATCGTCAAACTCCTTTGTATTCCTCTTTGATTCATATATATATCTCATCTATTACTCTATGTCAGTGATTTGTTTCTGTTCTTAATGCTTTGATGAACTGATCATTTATCTCTGATTTTGAGTTTAGAATTTGGTTGGAAAACGTTTTCTAACTCTAGACTTGGAACGAATCACCTATTAGTTTTGAGAGCCAAGGATGGTCTTGAAATTAATAGTTGCAACAAGTTCTGACTCTTAATGCGGGATATTTAACTGAATGAAGTGAGGAATCATTCATTGAGTCAAATATCTTAGAATTTCTTATGCCAAGGGATTGGGTTTGAATGAATTTAGAGAGTTCAATGACAATGAGTAATGGAATCTGTAGAAAGAATCAATAGGAATGCATAGGAGGGAGATTGATGAAGTCTAATATCCCAACTGTTTCTCATATCTGTTTGTCCGCAAATTAAATTATCTTTTGGTGACTTAAGTTTGGTCAATCATCTATATAAAAAATTGAATATGTGTAATTACCCAAATTTTACATTCATAAGCATCAATTAGTATAATAGAAATCAACACTTATCTCACAAGTCCCTGAGGTTCGACAACCTTATAATCATACTACAGAGACTTGGGTGCACTTGCCTAAAAAAATCCAATAAGTTTCTTGGCGCCGTTGTCGGGGACTTGTGTCAAGATAGTTAGTGAATCTTTGTATGCGAGGTAAAATTTCTGTTTCTTGGCGCCGTTGTTCTAAATTTTCTGTTTAAGTCAATCTTTGTATGCGAGGTAAAATGCCTGCTGAGCAATTGCTATTTGATCCAGAGATTGAGAAAATAGCCAGGAAAAATAATAGCAAAAGAAGGCGACAAAGGAAGCTTGAACAGGAGAGACAGGAACATGAGGGTACTTCCACCTCAATTTTAGCTCAACACCCTATTCCTGAATCAATGGCTGAAGAAGGACCGGGTGGTGGGGAAAGACCTCATCACCCTCCAAGAAGACTCCTAGGAGAATATAATCATCAAATAGGTCCTAGGCACTTCTCCAGTATAGCCAGACCAACAAAAGGGGTGGAGATGAAACCAGCATTACTATCTCTCATTACAGCCAATCAATTTGCAGGGATGGACCATGAAGAAACCTATACACATCTGTCTACTTTCTATGAGCTTATTGGCAGTACGAGCGTGCCTGGAGAAGATGAAGAAGCGGTATATTTACGATTATTTCCTTTTTCTTTGACAGGTAAGGCCAAGACATGGCTGCATGCCCACCCAAATCAGAGCCTGACCAGATGGGAGGATGTAGAGCGGAAGTTCTTGGCAAGATTCTTTCCTCCTTCCAGATATATAAGTGCTAAATCAGCAATTGCAACATTCTCTCAAGGTGCTGATGAACCTTTGTGTGAAGCCTGGGAGAGATATAAATCTTTGTTGAGAAAATGCCCAAATCATGGGTTTGATGATGTTGCACAGCTCAACATGTTCTGTAATGGGTTAAGGCCGCAAACAAAGATGTTATTGGATGCTTCTGCAGGTGGTTCTATGATGATGAAGGATTCTGAGGAAGCAATCACTATTATTGATGCCTTAGCAGCCAGTGATTACCAAGCTCACGATGATAGGAGCCAACCCACAAAAAGGGGAATTTTGGAACTGGATACTCAAAATGCAATTTTGGCTCAGAATAAGCTTCTTTCTCAGCAAATGGAAGAGTTAAAGAAACAGATGTCCAAACTTCAAGTCAGATCATCTTCACGCTCTCAACAAGTAATGAGATGTGATTTTTGTGCAGGTGATCATCCAAATGGACATTGCACCACTCTGAACCAGATCAGGAGGAAGAAGTGAATTACATGAACAATCCACGAAGGCAAGGGAACTTCTCTGGCAATTATAATCAGAATCAAGGCTGGAGAAATAATCAAAATCAGTATTCTGGGTGGAAGCAAGAAGCAGGGCCATCACAAAGGCAACCTCCACAAAAACCGTATCAAAATCAATCTCCTTATCAGCCAGACAGGTTATCAAAAATGGAGGATGCTCTCACACAATTTATGCAGGTTTCCACAACCAACCAGAAAAACACCGAAGCCTCTATCAGGAACCTGGAAGTACAAATTGGGCAGTTAGCTAAGCAATTGGCTGATCAGCAAAATAACAATTTTTCCGCCAACACACAGGTTAATCCTAAAGAGCACTGTCAATCAATTACAACCAGGAGAGGCACTGTGATAGGAAAAGGGATTGGTGACAATTTGAGAGAAAATAATGATAGAGTAGATGAAGAAAAGAGTGGAGTTGAGTTAGAAAGTGAGAAAGAGGTGGAGTTGAATAAAGAGGCAGAAAAAAATGAAAGAAATCAACACTTATCTCACAAGTCCCTGAGGTTCGACAACCTTATAATCATACTACAGAGACTTTGGTGCGCTTGCCTAAAAAAATCCAACAACTACATTATAATTAAGAAGAATAAAAATATATTATATTAAACCTATTAAGAGTTATTACACTTAATGCAAATACAATCAACATATATTGAACCTGTATCATCGACATTGGTAACCTAAACTCGATCGACCATTCACACTCAGTATAAGCTCCTCGCCTCAAAGCGCTCAGAGCTTGGGGGGCTAGTGTACTACCCACATCGGATACCGGAGTCCAGCTCGGCACTCAGTCACCTTACAACATCAGCCAAATAGGCAAGCCCACGATCTATTGGGCCATGGCCAATCCTGGGCATGATCAACCCCACTATCGCCTAAGGGAAAAACCATAATTCACACCAAGGTACGTGTCTTATATATACGAGACTCACACAACTACAAGGACTAACTTTAAGTATCGGAGTCTCTTTTGCAGGTACTATCCTCATCTCGAAGTAATCAACCAAAGAAGCAAAGGGAGACTCAACAATCTCATCGAGAGATCGTCCCCGTACCGATCTCAAGTGAGAACAGAAACTATTTTTTATTAAAGTTGACGTGAAGCAAAAAAAAAACAGATGGTGAGGCACTCGACAAATTTTGATCTTTGATAAAGTATCATTTATCGTTTATCTACATCATATGAGACGTGACACCATGTAACTATCAATTATCACTTAACGTGCCAAGTCACACGTTAATTGACTTAGTAATCGTTAGAAGTTAAACAAACACACAAGAAAGGAATTTGAATCGCGTGTAACATAACAAAACTTTTTCCCAAAATAGTTCTCAAGATAGCTTTCGGAACATAATGCATTAATTATAAATTTTCACACAGTTGAAATGCTTTAATTAAAAGGACAGCAACATGGGGAAAAACGGAAGTTTATAGAAAAACTCGAATAGATAAGCGATTTTCCAATAGCCTCTCGCTGTCTGAGTATCTATGTTCCTCACAAGTCATAATTTGAGGATGCCGTTTACATGATTCTGTTTTCTTTTTGTGACGATCTGAATGGACCCAGGTGAGTCTGTCACCACCATTTGGTTCGACTAGTCAATAGGTCTCACGTCCTTTTCACTTCAAATCCGAAGCCTTTGTCCCTCTCTGTCTTTGCCTTCAGCTCGTAAATAGTTCTCATGCATTATTATGTCCATTGCATGTCAACCAATGGTGCATTGAGTTAGATTTTGCTCAACTCAAGATGCTGATATATAATCCACTTCTCTCCTCTAGTCCTAAAACCACCACCCCAAAAATCACTTTACTACATTTGATTATAAATAATGCTACACACTTATACATGCATATATTAATTTATATTTGTTCTCGAGAAGTCTTTCAGGTGAACCTCACCTTTCGAACCAACTGACTTACGAGTGAGATTCTATGATCTAGACATGCGAAAAATCATATTTAGATCGGCTAAGAATTTGATTGATGTAAGTTAGAGTTGCTTTTAAAAGTTTTTTTTATTAGAAATTAAATATATCTTTTAATAAAGAAGTTCTGAAAAATACTTTTAAGTTTTAAGTTTGTATCTAAACAAAATCTTAATCACATATTAATTGACTTCAAATATCTTTGATGATAGTTTATATAAGTGCTTTATTAAGATTTTTTTTATTTTATTTTAAATGGATCTATTATCTCACATTATTCTTAAGTAACTTATATTACAATTTTATAAATTTTGTTCTAATTGTGAGATTTTATAAACAATCCATATTTTTATAATCTTTTTAATTTATACTTCATTTTTTGACAATTTAAAAAATTAATGCAATTATTATAATTAAATATTAATTTAATTAAACATAATAAATAATATTTTTTTTTATATATGA